AAATACAATTTGAAGTCTTTAGTGTCCATTATTTGTTTTGTGACAACCGTGAGGTTTTATTTAAAACCGTAGCAAAATTTATACTAATATTTCCTTATACTCAGTTTATTCCTAAGTTTAAGATACCGCATTTATTTGTAAGGCTGTTGCTGTTTTTTTAAGTTTTGTAGATTTATTTTCGGGTAAATTTCCATACATTTGTAAAATAGTGTTAAAACATACCGCAACATAGGATTTAACATTAACATAATAATGCGGGCGCAATTCACCGCCGTGTCTGCGGCTTTGTGCGTCAACTTGCTGCCAGTTGCCAGTCCCGGCTCTATAGGGGCTGTCTACACCACTTAGTGCTATGGACGGACAAAGCAAGATATTTTCACATAATTACGGTTACTAGCAAATAACAGCTTTAGAGCGGGCGCAGACCTCTGACTTAACTATCCGCACAACTGTTGTGCGATTGTCGATAGTTACGCAGCCCATTCAACTGTTTAGTTGCATTACTAAAAATCGAGTAATGTGCGCATCTCCATAGCTTATATCAATCAATTCAAATTAAAGCGCGACTTAACAGTTGTCCGATAATTAAGTCAAAGGTATTCGCGCGGTCTTATTCGTATTTTTCGTATATCGTATTATTCGTATAATCATGTTGTCAAAATTTACTCATAGATGTCGTTTTGTTTCTGTCATAGACAATAGAATATTTGAAACACTATAAATATAGTAACATGTTTAAAAATTAAAGGTTAATTTGAAATAACAATTAAATCTTGTTATATTTAGTGAAGCGACACAATTAGTCGAATAGATGACCGTCTTAAATAATCTAGAAATAGTATATAGTAATAGTGAAGATGATACCAGCGTGGCTGTGAACATTTCAGTGTTCGCCGACAATATTTTGTAGCGCAGGTTTCCAACGTGCGACGTAAATGACCCTTATCGCGGAGCGGCGCAATCGCCTATTATACGTCAGCGAACCTCTATATTTACGTAGGTTTTGCGGAACTAAACCACAATTTGAAATTACCAATTACAACCCTGTGTTAGATTTGTTTGTGCATTCAGAAATAACATGTCATTTGCATTTATTTATTGTTTTAATGTATTAAATGTTTTGTCTTTTGCAAAATTCTTATAAGTATTTTCGGTAGTAACTTCAAGTAAGACATTAAAGTTACTTGTGTTTTAGATCAAATAGGAAAAAGAACTTACTAAATTTTTGTTTTTAAAAATTTGAGTGAAGGAATAAAAAAATATATCGTTATCAATTGAAATTTGAACAAAATAACGAATGTGAAGAAATGGTGAATGTGCACTAATGTTGCATTACATTTAGTTCCTTTTGTTTCTATAGCCAAATCACATTTCGTGCAAAGTCGTATAACGTTTCATGATAGCGTTTCATTGCAAATATCTTTATAGGATTATAAAAGTTATTGTTTAAAACGAATGGCGCAAGATGACCGGTCATTTAGAATTAATCCTTTCAACTATATCAAGCACGAGCTTTATTGGACAGCGGAAACGAGTCTAAAGTTGCATTGTGGGGGATTAAACGCAACCCAATTAAGTGGCGCGGAGTCCGTGCCTGCCTCTACTCGATATCAGATTAGCTACTCACGGGATTACATTAGTGGACGTCATACTGCGCTTATATACCGTCTTCTCTGCCCATCCAATTATATCTCCGTGACACTCAATAGTGACGGAGATTAGATTCGAAATACCGAGCTATACGTGTGAGCGATTCGATAATGACAGGCTGTTGAGAACATCATATTAATTAACATATTAGTAAACAACAAATGTTTATCGCTTACAAAAAATACTTGTTAAGTAACAATTGTGTTAGGTACTTGTTCAATTGCATAGAATAGGGCTTACGACCTGTGATAAAATAATCTTTTACTTTGATCAGATAAAACCTAAGTTGCTATTCCGGTATTCAGTCAGGATTTTACTAAGTAAATTATTCGAAAATCAATAATTTAAGTACGATCACAAATATTAAACTAGTTTTTATGTTATAAACATCGCGATTAACCTTTTATATATAAATTCTTTGTTTAACCGGATATGGTAATTCTGTAAATAGTCAATAAAGTTGCTAATTTCCTATTCAAAATACTATTACCGGATACGTGTAATGTACCTCTATAATCCAGCCTCAATATGGTGTGATTTACGAATCAATGCGCATATTGTGAATATGTAAATGCGAATTATATTATTGGATATCTAATTACTGTGCCGTCATAAATTAATTAACTCCTAATTGCGTATTGGTCGATATCTGTCTCAGGCGGAACAATGCGTGTCACGTATTGCCACATTGATCGCATACATTCCATTTTGAAATTCATTCGACCAAGAAATTTGAAGCCTATTTTAGTATGAAGCTATTATGATCGAATTGACTGATATATTGCATTCATCCCGTTGCGTGCGTTTATGAAATTAATTTAGTGGCTAAAATTGAGCACCCTTTGATTTTAGCAGTTATGCGAAACGGTTGTTGATTTAATGAGTTATTTGAATTATATAGTTTAAAGAATAATTTAAATGCGATAGTTACGTTAAATATTGATACTATCTCGTTACATAGATCTTGAATGGATTTGCTTAATCTCATTATTTTTATTAGAAACTTGTATTCATTTGGAAAAGTACTCTATAATCATATACCTGGAAAATTATTGCCGCAGAAGCAGGTTTTTTAACTTACTGATTGTTGTAATAAACTTTTGAGGCAATTAAAAAAATATTTTATGGTTAATAAACGATTTACCTTAATTTTGTTGCGATACATCGAGCCTTATCATCGATTGTAAATATTAATCAACTTATAATAACACTGGCTTATCCGAATATCTTAATTATAATAGGTGAAATTCTGGCTTCGGAATGAGAACGCTTACCGCTGCAGCGGGACTGGTGCTGCGGATTCAGCACACGTGGCTCTCGCCGCTCGCCGCACGCCGCACGCTCGACCTATGCTCTACGTGATCAGACTCTACGATTTCTAGCACAAATCATTTGTGTGACTTCGCTTTTTGCTGGCGTTTTCAAAACTATTTGAAGTTTCCACTTGAATTGTTTTCGGTTAACACGCCACCGATTGTACGTTTTATTATAAAAACATGTTTTATCAAACTTGAAAAGTAAATAAGGTTGTTGTTAGTAATAATAAAAGATATAAAAAATATATGTTAATATCAATAATCTTTGTCTTAAATATATGTCAATATCATAAATCTTTTTGTTTTTCAGTTAAAAATTGCAATTGTTATTATTATTTGTAGCATGCTAAAATAAATTTTATAAGACTGCATTAATGCAGCTAGATGGAATATTTTCAAGCATGTTTTTAAATCTCATATAACATATTTTTAGATTTAGTGCTCGCTTGAAAGAGTGTCAGCGTGTAAGTTTTAAAATACAGTTTTAATACAGCTTCGTTTGCGGCTCGCGACTCATATTTTTCATGTTCGCGTTGCTCCCCATTGGTTTAATGCTTATTTCATACGTGACGCGGCACCGCAATCCCTGTATCGTATCTCTTTCTAATGGCTTTCCTTTCGGCAAAGTCGTGTGTTAGTTTAATGCATTTAATGCATTATTCATTACAGTTGCGGTAATGCAATAACTTATTTAGCTCTCATGTTATTTGAAAAGCTCGATTCGGAGAGCTTTTTAGAAAATACGCTAGCACATTTTAAGGTCGATTGTGGGTGCAAGTTATTAAAAGTTGGTTCTACTAGTAATTGATTTTTGTATCAAAAAAAAACATAAACAAAGAAAAATTTTCTTAAAATTGTACTGTAGCTGTTATCCGATTTCGTAAAGACTTTAAATGTCTACACATGAGGAATTACGTCTTTATGATCATATGTAATAGCATAAGAAATAAAGTCACAATTGAACGTCGATCCTAAAATTCAAATCATAAAAGATGCAAAGATGTTCTCTTTTAAATAATGTTTACACATCGGGACGTAGAAAGTCCAATATCGCATTTGGAACGTGTATAATGAGTGTAAATACTGAGTAGGAACGGAAGAGGCGGGGGTATGTAAAGGAAGCGTATTTATTAACGCTGCGACACAGGCGAGTAAACAAGGAATCTACTTTATATTAAACCGAGCGGTCCATCTGAACCGCTATTAGCCTGCGACGGATCATAGATGTTTACAAACAGCTAGAACTGCTTTGGAAAAATTATAAACGATTTAATCTCATTTATATCTTTATCACCTTTAATTTAAAAACTGTAATAATACCGTGACAATGGATAATGTACCGTCACTTGTACCGTTTATCTTGTGATTTTAATATCTTATACAACATAGTATAGTCAATTATAATTATTGTAGAAGTAAAATTTCATAATTGATCTTAGTAAAAATCAATGTACCTACACAGTATAACTTCTACTACAGTAAAACAGTGCGATTAGACATTAGTAAAATAGATTTTTTAATTAAAACGTTTTTTTTTTTAATTACAGTCAATTCTAGTAATTTTATGTTTCTATGGTGTGTCGGGAAATATCTAATGAAACCGCCAATGTTTATTCTGGCGATACGTAATGAGAAACGAGTGCAGCAAACCTTAACAATCGTCGCTCGCGCTAAATTTCATGTCTGGATATTAATTTTCACATCAGCCTCAGAGACCTCTCTCGAATTCTTGTACAACTCAGACCTTCATTTACATTCAACTGTATTGAAACATAACCAATTTCAATATTCATTTTCGAATGAATACGGCGAACGCGATGAGATGGAAGTTTCCAGTAAATAGAACTGTAGGTAAAGTTGATTGTTATTGAGTAAATATAAGAAATAATGTCTGTTAGATCGCCGGTCGATTCACAGCCGAGGCCGCGGCGCAATCCACTGGATTAGGGCGCGAACACGCACGCCGCGCCCAACTTCTCTATTTATGTTCGCGTCGTTACCAAACAACTTGTAGGCTCTTTATTACAGCTGTTCTTTTCCGCTCACGACATCGCTACTGCCTTGATAAAATATCTTGTAGATTTTTATTCGGTGAGAGACAATTGTTGTCTTACTTTTTGTTTTTTCCGAATTAGGTAACGGAAACGAGACTCTTACATTTGCTGACTTACATACTTACCTTTGAATTTATACGAAACTAATACACTTTATTTCGAAGTAGACTTTTTAACAAGGCCGAAACTTTATGTAATGTATTATTTGTAACATCGTGACTTGAACACTTTTATACGATGTATTAATAAATGTTAACTTTTTTCGTAACTTATGTAGTCTTTGTCGAATTAATTATAAGTTAAAAATAGAAGACTAATTTAGAAGTTCATTTCATATATATTAACCGTTTAAAATGATTTTTTTTTCAGATGTTTTAAGGCGATGGCATGAGTGGACCGAGGATGGAGCGGGCGAGCCGGCGCGCAAAAGCGGGCTCGTTGAGCGGGCTGTCGGGTGGACTTGGTGCCGGAGTCGCGGGAGGCACTAGTGTACGCAGACAGCGTTCGCTGGAGTGGACCGGCGACCGGTACAGCAGCAGCGACGACGACCGCCCTACTCAGCCACCCAAGATCGCTGATAGAGTGTTCGCCTCGCTCCTCGCTCAAGCCACCCAACAATTTGACAGTGAGTTTTTTTGTAAAGCAAGTCCTACGGTCGTTTACTAATTTTCTTGGCCTTAACTGTGGATTTACCAAGGTACGCTTGTCATAGAATATTATTTGAAAACGATGTGAATTATAAATATCCCTAGAGCAAATCTCTAGAAACTTAGGAGTAAAATAATGTCATCATTAAAATGCAATTTTAAATAAGAGTTACGAATTAAACATGAAAAGTTTTTAAAAAAAGTTTATTTCGTCGTCTGACGCTAGTTGGTTTATTATATTTTGGCCTCTCATGTTTGCAAAGCAAAGCGTAGCGTCTGCTACGAGCCGCTACGAGCTACAGCGTAGTCTGGATTAGCTTAAAATTTGTTATTCACCGAGCGACACGGTCGAAGGTCCGCGCTGAGCCCTAACAAGTGGCATCATTAGTGTAGCATTTCGGGGAAGCGCGGGGGCGAGCGAGGGGGCCAGGCAATTGATAGGGGAGCGCCCTGCGGTGAACTTATGAGGAAAACTTTACACGTAAACCTCGCAACCTCAGCTTACCATCCTTCTGTCATGCTAACTAAGGAGTTGATGAAGTCAGATATACGTTGCTTTATAACTTTCATACATCAAAAATGTTCTGAGCTTACAACATCAGACGAGCTTAATGTAATAACATTTTGCATGTTAGTGCATTAACATGGAAGATAAATAATTTGAAATTATTGAATTTGCCTACAGAAATATATTATGTGTAGTATAATATTGCTGTTATTGACATGATTCCGAGAGATTTGTAGAATTAATATTGCGCTTCATAATAACATCTGGAGTTCGATGAATCGGAAAGTATTAAGAATTTATTTCTCGGTTTGATTCAATGTAACGAATTGTAGTAAATAAGGTATTTAAGGTGTTTGCTTTGAATATGTATGTAACAAAATAATTATGATTATTTTTAGTACAGACGAAATTGAACCTAAAGAATAATTCTAACAGTCAATGTTGCAAAATGTGAGATATAATATTTATTGTAGGTAATCTAATTTACATTTTAATTTAATTTCAATATAATCAAAAACATTTATGTCGGGATTCTTCGCTGATATGATTAAATATTATAAAGCCATGGAAATGCCTATATTGAATGATTAAAATATCAAAAACAACAGAATTTTGTTGAATAAAATAACATTAAGGTCTCAAATTAATACAATATGGTAGTTAACAAAGTTTCATTGACTGAAGGGTGGTAATAAAATAACTGCACGTTGTGCAATGTAATGTTTAATGAAGATATATATTTTTTTTGCTTAAATCCGCGTTTGTAGTGCATTTTTGCAGTTAGAGGTTTTTATTTGAAACGTAAATTATTGTACAAATCTATGATGACACCTATTCGTACACCAATGTTATAATTAACATTCGCACGACATCGCCGCGGGTCTCACATAATTGATTACCATTCCATGTTAACCTAATACCTAGGAATATGCGCTTTACGATGATACCAAACTAGTGTTAAATGTTCTTACACACACGTTAATAGTCCATAATTTACAGCGTTAATAGACTAATGCAGTTCAAAATAAAACACACACTATGAGTAGCCCAAGACTAAAAAAATTTAAAAGGGTTGCATAAAAAATAACAAAGTTTTTGTCGTGTATTTCGTATTAAGAATAATCTTTTTTATAGGAAGTGTGTAATAAGACAGATATAGTTGCGCTTTTGCTTTGTTTTGTTTAAATATTGAGTTAATTGAATGACTTCATAAAACAAGAGGGAGTGCACACAGCGCGCGGTCAAATCGACAATTACCGCTGTATTGGGACCGGCTTGTTTGTGCATTGGGACGTTAAGTGGACTATACAATACATACGTTTGCAAGTGTTTACTTTGACCGTTGTTTCGAAGCAACACTATATATTTTTAAAATAAACATTGACAGTAAAGCGTACGCTTTGTTAAATATTGGAATTTGAACAGAAGTGTGAAAACTATATCGTAATGGTCGCACTTCTCTACAAAGATATATGTAAAAAATATACTACCATATGTTACGAAATCAAACACATTATTTATTAGAACATTGAAAGATAGAAATAAATTCGCGGACACATTATTTGTTAAAAGCACAAATCGATGTTATAATTTAATATTATAAGCAGCTTTGAATAGCAAAGCAGAAATAAACCACTCAAGAATTCAACCACTTAATTTATCTGAGTTGACAATAAAGAAAGACTCTGAGAATATTGAAAAATAAAATAAGCCTGTATTAATATTGGAGACAGGGTACTGGGAGACGGTTCGGTTGTAGTTTTCATTTCATTTTGTGTTATTCTTACACAAACGATATCGGTGGTTTTATTAGAAAGCAAGCCCACTAAGTACGCAATATCTCCGACAGTCTGCGAGAATCCTTGCGGAGGCAATGCCCCGTTATTGCATGGAAATTCTTCGGCGTGCAACTTCATTCAGCGACTCCCTTTTGTGTAAAGGTTCCAGTGCAATGTTCTCGGGTTATTGTTTTTTCAAAAGCGACAGAAGCACCTGATATTACCTTTTCCGGTCTTACAATAACTCAGGTTTATTCAATTACTGTGTTTGCTTTTATTATGATCGGAAATGTAGTAATTAAGGTTGATTAATCTGGTTCGTTAATTTCAATTTCTTCTTATTTCGGTAATTACTGTATAGAAAATGTTAAAATAACTTATCAGGAGATATAAAGTTTATAAATGAACATGTACATAAGTAATTTACATAAAACAACGTAGCCTAACGCACATAGCATGAGTGAGTGCGTCTATTCCGTGCATTTCGTTAATTGCCCGTAAATATTTAGTCATCGGGATGATGCCGTAAACTGTGATGAGAGCAAACAGTTTCCGCTCTCCATCGACAATTGCTGCTATATCGAGACCCGCATAATCAAGCTTCAGTTTCAAATATATTTTATTTGAAATTATACGACAGTATTATTCTAATACATTCAATCAATTTTGTTTTATTTTCAATTTAATTTTAAATTTGTCTATTCACTGTAAGAAGAAATGAAGTAATAGCCACCACCAGTATTTCATCTCATTTTGCTTTGATTTTTAATCCGAAAAACGAACTAGATATTTTAACTTGACAACTTATTTTAAATGTATTTGTACTTATTTAACAAGAAATAACTGCATTTATAAACTGCATGCAAAACACGTTATGTTGTAAAGTTGAAGGAGGTTTTCTTTGGAAATTTCTTATTCTTACAAATAAAAAGCTTTGCTAGAAAAGCTTACAATGCTTGCAACGCCAAAATGAGACTTTTAGCATAATGCTACTCACTTGCACTCGGTATGTAAATGTGAATCCATTTGAAGGATATCATTTACAACGACAATGTTAAATAATTTTTTTATAATTTTTTTTTAATATAAATTGTTTGGTTTAGCACTGAGATAAAACGTTGATTTTTTAAGTCACCATTTTTTATTCACTTCACTTTTTACCCCTTAGTATTCAGACGTGTGTCAATATAATTAGTATATGTGCAGGTGATACGGTCCAACGCACGAATGGGCACAGCAATAATGTAAATTCATATTTAGATAATCGATGTGTCTGGCTTAGTACTGTGCATGCTGATAGCAGTTTACATAAAACAATTAAATACTTGCATCATGTATAAAATACACAAGCTATACTCTAATAGGTAGAATACTTTAAGTTTTTTGAATAATAATTTTTAATGGAAAAAGCTTAACATGGATATTTACGGTCGATTTGTTATATTTTTTTAAAGGTAAAATATTTTCTTTTACATCAAATTTTAACAAAGAAACAAGATAATTTATAATGCACAAATAACAATGACATGCTTAATGCATTGTTTGAGTTTGTGGTTAATTAACTTTGTACAACTAATTAATTATAATGATTTAATTAGTTCAGAAAACCGCAACGTAATAGCGCGTTGGACAGGTACAGCGACGTATACATTATTACATTTAATGGCGATTGTAATGCACACGATAATAAACCTATTTTAATGGAACAATATCATTCATGTTACTATTCCAATTGAATTTCTATGAAGCCATTTTACTTTATAAATAAAGCATTGTTTATATGTAGCTTCTGTTTGAATCCAACCATTTAATAACTATAAACATAGCTTAAATATATAAAAGGTAGCTTTTGTATTTAATTTTTAATTTATAAGGATGTACATTAAATACAACATTGAGATTATTGTTCGTAATTAAAAAAAAACTATCATCAATAAAGTCATTGTTACGGTCGTTTTTTGACCAACTACAAGAACAGTCAATATTTCATTTATTCGAGTCGTTGAAGGTTGGTAGCGGATGGACGTGCATTTAATATCGTTACTGCTTACCTTTGGCAGCGGCTGCTAATATGATTAGTCTCGCCGCACGTTGTATTTTTGCACTTAATGCGCCACCGGACTTCATAAAACTGGACTAACGGACAATTTAAACAAATATTTAAAGAGCAAAGATACTTTACGAACTGCTATTACAGACATATGCAAAATTATGTTTTTCAAAACAATGACTTGTCCATAAAATATTCGATTAATTTGATCGTAATATTAAATTACAGATTTAATTTTTTTTAGTTTACATCATTATTCTGTATCTTGGTAATAATATAAAGAAGTAAAGAGAAAGCGGACATAACAGCAAAAAAAACCCTAATAGTAAATTTACAGTATTTTTTGCAAATATATAAATGTCATTACAAAGGTTAAGTATTATATTTTACAGCTATGCAAAGATGTTCTTGTATAAGAGAGTATTTTGAATATGCCATTTCTAATAAACATATCGATGACGCAAATAGTGGCGTTTTAACGTTGTTACGATCACTAACTTCGCCGGCAAGTAATATGATTATCGGAAGCTTTTTACTCGCTAGTCCGCTAGCACGGCCAGACGGAACTAGTGGCTCGGCTTTTAATATTAAAGCAATCGATTACCGACGCTCACTGCCGACGTAAACAACCCATATCTGTTT